CGTCCCTAATTTGTATTGGTTTTGAAAACCGTCCCTAAATTAGGGTCGGGTTTGAAACCCGACCCTAATCTCTTAGAGTTCTCACTGGTACTGCCGGCGTCATACGTGATTCCCGCCCGGCATGAAGTTCTGACGTCACTCACGACTGCCCATTATCCACGATTGAGGCACGCTCCAGTACAGCTGTACTAGCTAGTAGACAGATGGGACATCAAACTGGCTTGCAAGATATCTTGAACAAGGTACCAGTACCGTATACTTCCATCGTCAGACAGCTCTGCCGCTTTTGCTGGATGCTTCTCACTCCGATCCCACTCCTTGAACGAACATGCACACAAGTCCCTGCTGTAGAAGAAGATACCATGATACGTATTACATCGACTCAACTACCTTGTCCCTTGGGGTTGAAGAGCTCACGGACAGTAGGCACCGATACTAGCTAGCTAGCTAGCATGTACCATCAACAGTCGCTAGGCTCCGTTTGCCCAGGCACACCTTCAATCTTACTGTACCGGTACTTTTCCGGCATGGACAAGTGTACGATGCATCTGAAAACTACCAACCCACAGGTCCATCGTTGGATGTGTGGGCTGTGCTCATAATGAACGAATACTGGCAAAGAAAGCCTAGTAGTGGTATATCATGAATCCCCAGGTAACAGCAGTGAACGAACTTCCAACGGAGTCGCCTTCTTCCCCTTGCAATAGCAGCGATGAAACATGTAGCGAGGTCTCCCTGGGCTCCCCAATCAAGCGGGTCGCCAGCGATGACTCGTCACAAATTGGACTAACATCGATGAGCTCCAGTGCTCCTGAACTTGAGGTCCCAGGCTTGCTGACTGACAGCTCAAGAGGAACTTCACCGCTTTCAAGGAGTACTGGTACCGGGAGTCGCCAAGGTGGTCACATGAGACGGCATGGTATCACCTCAAGACCTTCTCAGACTCCTCTTAAGATTCCTACACGACGGACTCCCAACAGACAAAAGTCTCGCTCCGATTCTTTTCATTTGAAGCGAACAGCTCTACCGGTAGGTGGAGAAGGCCAGATAGCCAACAACAGCAATTCTAAACAGACGATCGCCAAGGCAAAGGCCGCGCAAATGCAAGCAAAGGCCAAAAAGGACCATCAGCAGTTGCGCAAGGCTCGCATGACCTCTCCTGAGGTTGAAAAGCAAACAGCTTTACCTGACCTGACTTTGACCACCTCTAGATCAGCCACGCACAAAGCTGTGACAGGTGGATCAGAAGTCCGGCCCGCCACCAGTTTGGGGAACGGCACACGATCTTTGGGCCGACAATTTGATAATGCGATTGATGATGAGGAAGAGGAAGGCAACTATCCACTGCCTCCGTCTCTTGATACTCGTAACTCACAGAAAAAGAACAAACGGAAAGCATTTGGTCTCAAGTTTCCACCACGAAGAACCGGAAGTGACAACAGTGAATCCAGCTTTTCTCGGCTTGCGGGGTTCTTCGGCGCGAAGGGGGATTCTATCCTTGACAGTGCATCGGAGGCTTCACTCGGGTCTACTATACTGAAGGAAAGAGATGATCGCTTTAGGCAGGGCGTCGACCAAAGCATAAACCTCATGGATCCTTCGGGTGCAAACTATGGGACGTCCCCTGAGCGTGGCAGTCGATCTCCCACCAGAGGCGGGCGGCGTGCCAAGAAGAAGCGAGTGAGTGTTCTAGAGTTGATGTTTGGAGATCGTGAGGAAAGGGGCCGTAGACCAGGCCGTCAAAAGAGCTTCGTGGATATAGTATTGGGCCCAGACCCCACAAAGCCAGGTCGAACGTCAAGTGGGAGTAAAGATCTCAACAAGACGAAAGAACAGGTTGCAGTGCGAAAGTTTTGTGCTGCTGTGGTTTTGCTTTTCCTGTTGGCAAGTGCCGCGGTGCTGGGGGGCTATGGTGCTCAACTCTGGTTTAGGAGTCGCACCTCCAGTACGAACGAAAGGAATCAGAATCCGTCGACCAATCAATCCATGGCAAGTGAAACCGATTTCCTGCTGCCCGCAAACGGGACATTTAGTGCCACAACCAGATCATTTGGTAGTACCGTATTGAAGTCGAAGCTGGGCGGCGAATCTAACACAGCCACGCAAATGGTTGACTCTAACACCACCTTGCAAGTGAATGATGAATTTTCTGAGGACGATGCGTTGGCTCACTTGGAGTCCTTGCTTCTGCATTACAAAATCTCCACGCAAAAGGATCTGCGCAATTCACAGTCGAGCGCTTACAAAGCACTGCGGTGGTTGGGAAAATTCCGAGAGTCCCAGGACGACATTGATGTCTACGACGCCGACGAACACGACGGGGACTTCGAAATTGGCTGGAAGGACAACCAAGAGTTGATTGAGAAATACGCGCTAGCAGTTTTCTATTTCTGCACGCACCACAGTCACAGCAAGCTTGACAAAGCTGGTGATAAGCAATCACAAGAAAGCGATACGGCCAATGAGGCAAGCCCGTCGCTCCGAGGGCAACAGCGACGGCGTGTTTTAACATCGCCCAGTCGAACTTCATCAGGAGAAGACTGGATGAACGACGATAAGATCTGCGAGTGGCGCGGTGTACAATGCAACAAGGAGAATGCTATCACACATTTGAGGCTTCCTAGTAGCAACTTGCATGGCTCGCTGCCTTCGGAGCTGCGAGGGCTGAGAGTAAGGAAACACCCATAAGTTTCTGGAAATGACTTGACTTATTGTTCCCCTAACCCACCTCCTATCTCTATTCAAACACAGGATCTGGTTGTGCTGGATTTGAGCAACAATCACCTGCATGGAAGCATTCCAAAGTCTATTGGGGAGCTTTCCCGGTTGACTTTCATCAATCTGGGGAATAACAAGTTTAGTGGGTCCATTCCGAATCTTCAACCTTTGACCAATCTGCACGAGATCAACTTGGATATGAATAAGCTAGGTGGAACTATCCCCTCTTTGCAGGGAATGGCGAAACTGTCAAGCGTCATTCTTTCTGGAAACAGATTGCATGGGTCCATCCCACCCCTTACAGGCCTTGGCAAACTGAGTAAGTCATATTGCTGAATTGGCTAAATGTTGTCTCTGCAGTAAACTCACAAATGTGTCTTCCCAACTCAACTCGAAAGAGCATGTTGATTTGAACAGCAATGAGTTGACTGGAGGAGTTGACTTCGAAGGCTTGACCAGTCTTGATCGCCTTGGTGCGTATTTGATTGACAAGCACATGCTGCTGCTTATGGCCACATACTCACCTTCTGCTGTCCCAACAACACCCCCAATACAACCGCAGAGAAGTTCCAAGCTGGAAGCAACAAGCTATCTGGAACAATCTCGGCAAGCATTCGTGGCATGCATAATCTTGGTAAGCCTCAGATGCCAAGAATATCAGTACCATTCCTCTTCTCAAAGCGTCGGTCATTGGGACTCATGTATCTACCTATTGCAACATTTAGTTCAACTTGATCTTAGTTCCAACTCATTCCATGGGGACCTTCCCAACTCCATCCAGCATTTGTCTCAGCTAGGTGAGTCCAAGTTCTGTTCTGACAAGATGCTTTTTCCCCAGTTCATGCACTGACTGTACAAGTTTGTTCTTCAGAACACATGAAACTTAATAGCAACCAGTTCACTGGCTCTATCCCAGCCAGCTGGTCACAGCTCAACAATCTGCAATCTCTGATTCTGGATCACAACTTGCTTGAAAGCACAATCCCCTCGAATCTGAACAAGATGAGACAGCTGACTGACCTTCGGCTCAACCACAATGTGGGTTCTGCCGGCTTTGGAGGCTTTGTCTCTGGATATTTTCTGTGTATAGACTGTCACTCACCCATACGCTGCATGCTGTCCTTGTAGGGCTTGACTGGGTCCATTCCAGACCTGGGAAAGTTGACTCATCTCGTACATCTACACCTTGAAAGCAACAAGCTCTCGGGAGAAGTACCCAAGTCAATGGGAAATCTAGTTGGCGGGCTTAAAACGTTGCTGCTCTTCCATAATGATATCGCAGGAGACTCTTCATTCATATGTGCAGAAGATGTTTCCAATTTGCAACGATTTGCAATGGACTGCAAAACTGAGATAACATGTGACTGCTGTCTGAAGTGCTACTGATGGGAATTATAAGTGCAACCATTGCATTATTTCACTTTTGGGCCAGACCACTCACGTGATTGGATACACTGGGGGTAATTAGGTTCCATCATCTTCTGTTTGAAAAGACTGCAAAGTCTGTGACTGCCTAAGACCACTACAAGTCCAAGTATAGGTATATCTAAGAAGAAATTACCACAAAGGATAGGGATCGATGGGGCGTTTGAGTAGGAAAGTTATCCACAGAAGAAGCCTGCAAGTTCCAGGCGTATCTATCCGTAGGGAAAGAAGAGGCAAATTCAGGACTAGGTTCCACGGGATCAGGGAAGGAAACGTTTACACTTCCACTTCAATAGGGTTTAGACCCTCATTTTGGCTCAAATCTATCACCATTTCGTCATTGGATATCCACTGCTCATTCCAGGTGTCTGGGATGGCTCCTTCCAGTAGATTGTCAGACAAATCTATCAGTTTGATTATTGGCCAGTTGTCAGGCCACTCCTCATGCAGCTCTCCAGCAATTGAATTGTGGCTCAAATCTAACTGGTTGAGGTGGTTCATTGCTACCATTTCTTTTGGGAAAGTTCCTGTCAAACCACTGTGTGACATGTTCAATGTCACAACTCTCTGGGCATCGTCACAGTCAACTCCATGCCATTTGCAGATTGGTTGTTTGCCATGATTGATCCAACCAACCGTTGCATTTGGATTCTGAGCATCTCCAACCGTTGCCTCGGGGTGAAAGGCAAAATAGCAAACTACGAGAGAATAAACCTCCAACAGTTTGTCCATAGATTCAGACGAAAACATGCCCAAGGTCTGATCATACTCCACAATCCAATCCAATGCTTTGTAGGCACTAGACTCAGGATCGGAAAAGTCGTCATGATGACTGATGTTGTGTCTTGAAATCCAACCAACCAAATCATGCCAGATTTCTCGTCGAACCATTGATAACTTGGGTGTGTGGTCCTCAGCTGGTGCTTTACGGGCAGCAACGGCTGGAGATTTACGGGCAACAACTGCTGGTTCTGGTTCGCCAACTGCCGAGACATTCTTTCCAGGTGTCGATATTCCTGCCGCTGGAGGCTGGGCCTGGACCGTTTCTTCCTTCGGGGGCACAGTAGATTCGTTGTTTGTCGTGTTGTCTATCGAGGAACTGGTCACCGTCAGGGGCGATTCTGTGGCCAAGGCAACAGGAGAGTCTGTGACTGTTGTCATTGGAGAAGCCACAGGCGACATAGTCGGTTCCAAGGTGGTGGGTGATGCCGTCGTCGTTACAGCCACCTTAGATTTGCCCTCCAGAGATCCATCGCAAACCAAAGAAAAAACGAGTAGGCCAGCACCCACAACAGACAAAGTCAGAAGGAATCCGCTCCATCCACAAACAACTGATTTTGTTTTGTCCTGCAAATATGGCGGTGGTTTGTATGTTGATTTTTTCCGCCTTCGGGGTGTTCGACCAGACTCGGCTCGCTCAATCAGCCCAGGAGTTTCAAAGTCAAAAATGGAATGCATGCTTCCTCCCAGCTTTGCAATGCTTTCTTTGGAAAATGTTTTGCTCTGACGCCGGCTTTGCCTCCTTGCAAATTTGAAGTGTTTCTCAGCACTCTCCGGGTCCATCAAGTTGACGCTTTGATCAACTTTGTACTTGTCGCCAAAGCCAGCCAAGGCTGTACTTCCCAACCGAGAGCCTTTTTGCTTGTTGCCTCTCCACATACGTGCCACTCGTTCCAAAAAGAAGGGTTTCTTCTTGCCGTCACCTTCGTTTTCCTTCTCTAATGCTGTTAATCTTCTTCTTGCACTACCATCTTGGTCAAGATTGATGGTCGATTGCCGCACCAAATCAGTGGTTTGAACTCCCAATGAAAAATCCTTGTTCAGCGTGGGAGCGTCAAAGGGGTTTTGCTGATCCCACTCGATGGATACCCCAGAAGTGTCATTGGTCCGCATTGGTTCCATGAGGAGGGAGCTGTCTACCATGGCTTTGTGAGCCGTTGAGCGAGCCGCAGATTGAACTGACGACGTAGATGCATGGCGACTACTAATAGGAGGTGGCCTTGTTGGTTCTGGCTTCTTGTCATCTTCGTCTGGGTCCGAAAGGTCAGAATCACTGTCCAGCAAGCTGGCATTACTTCTCGTTTCACCCTTTCTGACGTTGGAGGTTTTGCTGTGCACTGAAGTAGTGGCAACCCCAGTGGAAGTCCGCATAAATGGAGCTGAAGCCTTGCTGAGAGGCTTTGAGGAAGATCCGACTGTGGGCCTGCTAATATTGGTGGATGTATGGGCTCTTCTGATGGGACTCTTGCTCACGCGACGCCGTGACGTCAAGGCACCCGTACCAGTGTTATTCCGTCTGAGTTTACCACCACGGGATGCTCGAGCCTTGGAACCACTGGATGATTGTCCATGGGAACTCTCCTTTCCTGATCCAGCACTGCCACGACGGCCCTCCATGCCCCTTCCAACACTGCTGCCTCGACGGAGTTCTCTTCCAGCTCCACCTCTGCCTCGATGACTCTCTCTTCCAGCCCCAGCACTGCTACGACGGGCACCTACACCTAGAAATTGTGCATTTCCTGTGGCAGTTTCTTCGACAGAGCCAGAGCTGTCATAACTGTCAGAATCGAAGGCATCGAGATCAAGACTTCTAGTGGTGAGGTTGCCCTTTTTACCAGAAGACGCCATACGTCGTGGTGTTGAAGAATATATCCCTGATGGGTTGCTCTTCGATTGTTTCCCTTTCCTACTATGTCGATGGGGTAGAGGCTGTGTTCCTAGCGGTTGCGGTGAGTGAGGCAATGAATTATCTGTACTATTAGCTTCCAATGCCGTGTTTCCTCTCGAGGGTTTTGATCCTTTTCTACGTTGGGTTTTGTCACCAGGACCAAAAGGACCACCAGGTCCGTCTTCATTGTGGCCTGAATCCGACGAACGACGCATGCTACTACATTAGTCTCCAGTAGAAAGGATTGTTGTGGATGTGCAGAGTCGAGTGGGTTTGCCATGGCATGACGAGAAAAGATCTTGGCTGTTGGCAGCTTTTGGGGTGCACAGAGTCCCATCCACTTTTTTAAAAACTTCAACCCGAAAAGCTTTGGGCCTTTATTAATTATTAGCACGAATGAACTTCACCATTCAGTCATAGCTCAGTCATAGAGTCAATAATGGTTTCTCTTTTATTTATTGGTGACGGCTCCTTTCTTGCTCCTCCCAACTCCCAAGCTCCCAAGAGCTGTCCCTCGTAACTTTTGGCTTACTAGCCAGTACCGGTACTTGCACGATCGTTCATTGCCTCCAAGCTCCAAGCCTCCAAGCCTGCTTTGTAGCAGCTCTTATTTGTGGCTACGCTGTGGCTGTGAGCGATTTGAATCACCCATTCATCATTCATGCGCGTTTTAACCATCAGTTGGGATGCCAGGAGCCAGGAGCCAGGATGATACGAATGAGAGATGAAGAAGATTAGAAGAAGGTATCAGGGATGCAAGAGGACTTGGTCAGTGAGGCGAGTGCACGATTAGTACCACGCCAAGCTGGTTTTATTGGTACCATGGTCTCAGCATCCATTTCCATTTCCAATCCACATTCCATTAGTTGATACCGGTTACCATTAGACCTACAGGATGAAGCAAGAGATCGTGGTTTTGCATTCGCGGACTGGAAGCAGAAACGAAGAAGTCAGGCGCGACCATCTGAGCGAGACAGCGGCAGAACTATGCCCAAGTGCTCCGAGCAAACTTGGACACGGCTGTCGAAGCTCTCTTTCAACCGTTGCTCGTAGCTCATTTACTCTCCCTGAGAGCTCCCTGCATGTAAGTGGGATGCGGAGCTCACTCAGCTCAGTGGGGGCGTGAGCAGTCGAGCCACGGTAGCTATGATTGAGTCACGTTTACGTGTTTACATCAAACTTCTATGCTTGGCTGCAATCTTCAACAATGACAACATAGCGACATGAAGCTATTCATGCATACTCGAGACAGAAAGCATCTCTTGTTTTGGTACGATACAACCATGTTGGCCACCCAGCCAGTTCAATGAAGGACGGCTACGGAAGGTTCTGACCTTGGGCTACGATCTTGTACCTGGAGTCCGTGTTGGCAATACGATGCACTCACCCTCAGCTTCGACCAAATACCATGCTCTTGGCTTGCCAGAGCCCAACAAACCTGTTACATACCAATTGCTTGTCTAGCTACGGTAGCTGGTACTGGTACTGGGGTTATATTTTAAGGAAGCAACTGCAATAAGAACGCAGCCACGGTAATAAACCAGCTTCGATCGCTACCCAAGGATTTAACTCTGCGTACGTGCTGTGGCGATGCACAAAGAACTGGAGCTAGCTAGAGCCCATGGAGGACTGACTGCATGATCCAAGTTGTGTGCCCGCTCAGTCCAGATGTGAATTGCTTTTAAGATTCCTCGGTCAGTAGCTGCCGCAGCACGAGGAGGAGTCTCTCGTTGTTTTGATGCACTTCATGCCTTCCGTCCGTCGCTGTGACATGTTCCAGCAAGACAGCATCCAGTTGAGATCTGAGCTCTTGCAGCAGAACAATACCATTATTTGCCCCCTTGTCGCCCACTTTGAACTTCAGCCACCCATCCACAATCAAAGCATTCTTTTCTATAGATAGTTCGCCTCCAAAGAGCAACAGAGCAAACCGAGAAACAAAGTCGACCTCCGCGAGGAAAACATCGCCCAGCCTACCCCCAGTGCCAATGCTGCGATGTTTTGCGTGGAATACAGCGTATGCATCTCTTCCACTTTCCGAAACATTGCGGACCCGCTCGTTTTGGAAGGATCCCATGCTGGGTCTGCAAACGTCGCCGTCTTTCGTTAGGAGCCGCCCCCCTTTGGGGCCGCCCTTTCTGGGCCTCATCAAGGTGGCCACATTAGGATAAAGCCCAGCGACCAAGCAGCAACTGGTAAGCAAAGCATCATCATTGGCTCCGTTGTTGCATGAATCCAGCTCGGCTCCAACAAAACCTGCATCTTTGAGGCAGTCACGGAACTGCGATCGGAGACTGCTCATGTCCTTCAGCGCTACGTTGTCAAGTCCATTGCGGTTGCAGAATACCGCGCGCTCTTTGTCGTTTCGTTTCTTCGTCCATTCTCGATAAACTGCAATGGTTGCAGTCAAGTCGCCCTTCACCGTTCCGCCTCGCCAGCTTTTGCCGCCAAATCCATTCTCAACCAATGATTTGCGAGCTTGAATACAGCTTTGCCACTCTGTCTCCTTCACACTTCCCCATCGTGGAGGGAAGCATGATTTTGTGTTTGAGAGGACGGCGGCAACTGTCAAGGCATTCTCGAGGCAGCCCAACGAGCAACCTACGAGCAGCACTTTACCGACCTTGGCATCCATCGGTAGCCTTGACAAGTGATAGCCCAAAGGTGTGAGTCTGTAGAGCACCGTTGGTTCTCGTGCCACCACCGTTAAGGCCCCAACTTCTAACAAGTGTTTGCAAGCCTCCACTAAGCTTTTGTCCGATGGTGGTTCTGGTGTATTGCTGAGAAATCGAATGGGGCACACGCCCTCCGGCACTTGTGCATGCTGTGACTTCGTCTTGTCTCGTTTGTTCTCATAGAGAAGACTTAGTTGTATGACAAGTTCATCCAGCGGGGTTCGAAGTATTTCCGGAGATGTTTGAGGCAGCAGGAACTCCTCACAGAATTCTTCTGAGTAAAGCCGCCAGCAAGTGCCTGCGGATGTTCTACCAGCACGGCCGGCACGCTGTTTTGCTGACGCTCGGCTCGTCCAAACCGTGACTAGCTCCTTGATTCGCGTATCTGCATTGAATCTGCTTTCCTTGACTCGCCCTGTGTCGATCACATGTGAAATGTCTGCGATGGTTATACTTGTTTCAGCTGCACGGTTGATAGAAATGATGCAATTGCAATCAAACGAAGTGAACTGTGAGGAGAACTCTCCCCAATCACGTAGACCGTCTTTACTTCTTACCAATGTTAGTGGCGAGAACAATCTTCACTGTGCCCCCCTTTGCTGGAGTAAACACAGATTGCTGCTCTGTTCTTGGAATTGTCGAATGTAGTTTCAGTATGTTGCACTTGGAGCGGTCCCCGACGAGGGGATCTTGATACAGAACTTTGGCTGAGGCCTCGATTTCAGCTTTTCCGGGAAGGAATACAAGAATAGCCCCATCTGTGCGGGCGCCCTGACCGCCAGAAGCAACAAGCACACCATCTGCCTGCTGCTTTCGGACGATGGCACTTATGAGGTCCTTGACAAAACTGTGATCGATTTTTGCAGTGGCCCGAGGTGAAACGTTCTTCGCCTGATCTGCTTCCAAATCAGTTTTTGGTGACCAACCTTTGACAGAAGAAGTGGCAAACTGCTCGCATTCGGAGATCCATTTGATGTCCACAGGAAAGGATCGTCCCGGGATATCAATAACAGTTGGTTTGTAGTCTCCAAAATATCGCACAAACAATTGAGCCGCTGCTGTGGCTGACATGAGAATGATTCGAATCCGTTTATTGACACTTAAAAGACGCCTCAACAGCGTGAGCACAAAGTCTGTATTCACGTCTCGCTCGTGCACCTGGAAGTTGCGTGACAAGGAGTGGTGTCAGGGCACTTGTTGGTTGTGCACAACCGCGTTGGAATGCTTACCTCGTCGATAACGACATGGGAAACGTTCGATAATGGCACAGCTTCAGTATCACCCTCGACAAAATCGTCGCCAGCCTCCATTGGGCTAATTAGCATCCTCAGAAGGATACCGACTGTACAATAAACAATCTTTGAAGTACTCGAGACGGCTCGATCCAATCTGACCATGTACCCAACTTCAGAGCCCTTCGTTCCAGGAGCTCCAGAGCTCATTTCATTTGACACACGATACGCCAGAGCTGTTGCGGCCACCCTTCTTGGCTGGGATACAATAATGTTTGTGCTGTCCCGTAGCCCAGCTGCCGTCATTCCCTCCAGCAAAAACTGGGGTAGCTGGGTAGATTTTCCTGCATTAGTGGTCGATGATCAGAAGGGAGGTGGTGGGTTGTTGATGACAAAAGACATTGGAGACGCTGCTGTTGCCTGCTGAATCAGCTCAGCTTTACTGTACCACATCCAGTTGCTCCACAAACAATCAAGACCCGCCCCGTGTCCAAAGCTTCCAAAATAGTTTCCCGACAGGACGCTGCAGGTAGATTGGCCCTCTGGGGAGGTAGGGGCATCAGCTTATCAAAATGATATGAAAAGGTGGGGAGTTCGTTTAGGACTTTTCGGGGGGCATGTCGGATTGATCTTCGCTGGCGTTTGCGCTGCTTGTAAGCTTGTTTCACTGCCTCCAGAGGATCTTCCTCGTCGTCAGCAGCAGCGGACGGGACTGGTTTGGTTTCGCTGCTTGCAGTTGTCGTTTTTGTGGGGTCTTCCTGAGACGTGACATAGACTTTATCTCCATCTTTGATTCCGCGAAGATCCCCTACCAAGTCCACCGAAACTTTTTTCTGCACCACAAAGCACCTGATTGGTTTCTTTTTCATCTTGAGCTTGGCTTTGGCATCCTTGAGTACGTCTTCAACTCTCGTAGACAATGTGAAGACCATTGTTTTCTTGGCCCCTTCTTTATATTCGTTCTTGCTACTAGAAGACTTCCCCCCTTTCTTGCTGGAGCCTTTGTTGCCGGCAGATCCAAAGATGGCTTCGACCAGCTCCACGCGCACTTTTTTGTTGCCCGTTGATGATGGATTATCTTCCAATTGACTTGTCACTGCTTGGATTTGAGATGTTGTCGTCTCCAGTGCACCTCCTTCATCTTGGTTCACTTTTCTTGTGAGTGCTCTGCGATCTTGTCTCTCTTTCAGCTTCTTGATGAAACGTTTGTGTTCACGCTTTCGTTCATGTTCCGACTGGATCTTCGTGTCGGGCTCTCGCAGCGCAAAAAGTACAGCTGTCAGAGCTTCTTCGACTTCCTCACTCAGAGGCGCTCGGCCTCCACCCTTGATGTGGCTCATGCCAGATTTGTGCCCACAAGACCAATCAACTTTCTCGGCTGAAAAGGAAGCATTCAAAATGGATGCAGAGTGCTAGCTAGCTAGAGTGGATTGTGGAAGTGGTTCGATCTTTCTGGCCTTGGTTGAGAATTAGCCAACAAGACCACTACAGAGGTACGCATTACGCATATTACTGCCGTTCCTTAGCTTTCGGTATGTATCCACATGTGGCTGGACCCCAGTTTGTCCCCCCTCATCCCACCAAACCTACGGTAGATCTACTCTTCGTGGACCTTTTACCCCCTTGCCGTGCCCCATCGTAGATCGTACTGTAAAGACCCCCCTTTCGCACTCAAAGAAAGTGACGTGCAGATGAGCCTTTCGTATCATCTCCATCTCTAATGACTCGACTCGGCTCGATGCTTTGAAGTATGCACAGTCCGTACGTCACCCGAAAGTGACGATCCAACACTTCAACAACAACGTTGCTTCCTTCGCCTCGTTTTCCAAAGAAGCTTTGCAACAGTCACACCTCTCGTTGTCATCACTCTAAAACAAACAAAGTCCTTTCAGCAAGATGGTCCGATTCAGTAGCTCCCTTGTCCTGGCACTGGCGATCTCATCCGCGAGCGCCTTTGCCCCATCCTCTCCTTCCACTACTGGAAGCAGTACCGAGCTTGCATTGAACCGTAGAGATGCCATCAATACTGTAGGAATCGCTCTCGGAGGCATCTTGTCTGCTGGAGTACCTGAGCCAAGTCTTGCAGTCAACCCAGCCCTTCAGACATTCAAAGGAGGAAAGAAAACAAAGGGATCTTTCATCCCCGGAAAGGGCCTTCATGAGCAAGAATCCTTTGATCAACTGGTGGCATCGAACCCAGCCCTGCAGACATTCAAGGGAGGAAAGAAAACAAAGGGATCTTTCATCCCGGAAAGGGCCTTCATGAGCAAGAATCCTTTGATCAGCTTGTGGCATCCAACCCTGCCCTGCAGACATTCAAGGGAGGCAAGAAAACAAAGGGATCTTTCATCCCCGGAAAGGGCCTTCATGAGCAAGATCCTTTGATCAGCTGGTGGCATCCAACCCTGCCCTCCAAACATTCAAGGGAGGAAAGAAAACAAAGGGATCTTTCATCCCTGGAAAGGGCCTCCACGAGCAAGAATCCTTTGATCAACTGGTGGCATCGAACCCAGCCCTTCAGACATTCAAAGGACGAGATGGAACAAAGGGAGCTTTCATCCCCGGAAAGGGCCTTCATGAGCACGCATCGTTTGATCAGCTTGTGGCATCCAACCCAGCCCTTCAGACATTCAAAGGAGGCAAGAAAACCAAGGGTTCCTTCATCCCAGGAAAGGGCTTGCACTCTCGTGAAGAGAGTATGTTCTCGTAAAACTTAGCAAATTTCCTCGACAGTGAGTGTTACGAGCGATTTACATAGATGAATAAACTAGCATAAGGCGAACTCTGGACTGATTAGCGGGCTATTGAATTGGATCTGACGGCTGCCTGCTGGGCCAATCAACTAAAAGATGGTAAGCTTGGGCGATCCGCAAGACAGCTGCGTCGTCACCTCGTTTTCCCATCAATTGAATGCCCATTGGCAAACCTGACTGCCCAAACCCAGCAGGGATGGTAGTGCACGGCAACCCAGCAAGGCTCGCTGGCATTGCAATCTCCATCCATTTGTGGTAAGTTGTCATGGGTTCCTTGTTTATTCTTTGTGGCCATCTCCACTCCGAGGGGAACGACCAGGTTTGGGCGGTTGGCATTGCCAGCACATCATACTGCAAGAAGGCTTCATCGAGGCGCTGGGACATCTCTTGGCTTCCTCCGCAGCTCTGAGGCAGAATGCCTCAGAAGTATCCAAACCTTTTCGCAACTCCCATTTGAGCTCCTCCCTGATCGGTGCAACCCAGAGAAAGGCCTTGAGCAATGCCTTGGGCGCCCCGCTAAAGTTTGAGGAGATAATCTTGGCTCGGATCGTAGTCCAGCTATTCCACAAAACTTTGAGATCAAAGATGGGTTGGGAAGACAAGTCATCAACTGTCATTCCATTTTTGGAGAACACTGTCAAAGCTTCTTGACACAAGGGAAGGATTCCATCTTCAACCGGTATGTTCCCGTCCCAGTCTCCAAGCCACCCAATTCTGATGCTTTCCACGGAGGGAATGTTGTCTCCTACGCGAGTGGCATCAAATTTGCCCGAACCAGCCATCACTTGTAGTAAAAAGGCCAAATCTTGGGGGCATCGAGCCATCGGACCCGCTGTTGATATCGGGTATGGAAGAGGATTTGCGTTCGGAACTTGCCCGTTGTCATCTCCATTAATCATTCCCGCCGTCGGCCGATGACTATAGATATTATTCCACCCGGCAGGATTTCGTAGGGATCCCATCATGTCTGTGCCATCACAGAAAGAAAGCATTCTTGTGGCCACCGCCACAGCAGCACCGCCACTACTCCCGCCTGCACTCTTGGTGCGATCATAGGGATTTAAAGTGGTGCCCCATCGTTTGTTAAAGGTATGCGATCCGACGCCTAGTTCAGGTGTATTCGTTTTACCAATCACAATGGCTCCCTCCTTGATGATCCTTCGGACAAAGGGGTCGCTCTCGGACGGGATATTACGAAAGCGATGCAATGGGGATCCTCCCATGGTGGTTGGCAGCCCAGCGACATTGGAGAGGTCTTTCACGGCGGTGGGAATCCCATGGAGAACACCTACGCAGTTGGATTTTTGTGATCGATCCCGGTCACAACGGCGCGCCTCTTCCAGTAGTTCTTCTCTATCACGAACGCATATGATGGCATTTACTTTTGGGTTCACAGATTCGATGCGTTCCAGTGTTTCAACCATGAGCTCTTCAGCTGTCAGTCGCCCCTCAGAAAGTTCTCGTGAAAGATCTCGAGCACTCATCCGTAAGACGGAGTTGTTGTATGCCATGGCAAGGAGTAGCAAATACTGCATGTGTTATCATCCTCGACCTGTTTTGTGTTCATAACGATTTCATGGGCGGCCAGATGGGAAATACACTCCAACCTCATCAATAAGATAACTCTATTCTTAGTCGTACTGGAGGTATCTTAAAACCGATTTAGCTACAGCAACACTGATTTATTATCTTACAGCAGCCCAATCTCAGTATCTTTCATATCTTATAGCCACTACCTGGTAGAAGCTTTTATTACATACCCTACTACTAGTCTAACCATGCCCTGAGACAGTGAGGAGCCACCACCAAAGCTCAAGAAGGCAAAGGTGCAAAGGTGCAAAGCTAAAATTGATGAAACCAAAGATTCCGTGGTCGGGAGGCACCCTAAGATGCGGATATGGAGTACTTGGATGTAGATGGTGATGTGGTAGATAGTGGGTACTAGCTGCATTCAATCCCCGCATAGTCTTAGTATTAGCTTAGGATTTGAGACCTCAGTACTCGTAGCTTATCTTACTGGTTTGGGAAATCTGAGTGTCCGGGTTATCTAAACATTTCCAAAAAGTTGAGTACTCGGTATCTTAAATCCACTTATCTTAAGTGTGAGTGAGGAGTGTAGACAAAAGCTCCATGGATGCATGCATGGCGATGGTTCCTGCATGGTCCTCAATTGCTTTCGTTTGAAGCTTTCGAGCTAATTGGAGTGACACAGTCCCTTTCGTGACTAATGTTAGCCAGCTGTACTATTAGTAAACTTATTCGATAGACACAGACAAATGTTATTTACTGGAAGTCTATGTTACGTGGAACCACACCGCAACGAAACAGATCATCAAACAAGAACCAATAACCAGCTCTTTTGTGAAAGTTGTACCCTCTGACCCTCTGACCCAAGTCGCCGGTTGTTGTGTCGACATTGTCGATCTCCATTGTCTTCCATCCCTTTACCAGTTACTTCACAATTTCGAAGAGCCACCTTGACGAAGGTCTACCATTCTATTGCGGTTACCAGTCACTTCGATTTCATAACTTCCAGACTTTTCATTGACAGAACTTCTGATCTTCGCTTCTGCTCCGCTGCAGTCATATCGGTGGCACAGTAGGAGCATCAAACAAGAACATATGAGTGCAGAGTTGGAACTTGAACCAAAAAGGAAGAAGCCATGACCATCACTCCAACCTGACAGCATTGACCTAGGCAGACCTCATGTACCACGTACCACGTACCCAGAAGGTTGACGAGATTATATCAGTTGCTATTGCAATACACGGCTCTTAGCCTTATTCGCGACTCGATCCTAGATAGGGTTTGAGTTCGACTCATGACTGAGTCTCTCGTGAATAGTCATTGGAGACAGGGTTCTCAATGACCGCTCTAGTCATACTAGGTTGATGATGAAACATCGCTCTAGATATTTAGCCAGCGTGGAGTACTTCCACGCTACTAGATAAATGCTAGACGAATCTTCCACGCGTTCTGTTTTTGGATCGTGGAGAGAGTAGGATTGCTACCGCAACCTACTCTATCACACTCTACAGTCTCCCGCGGGAGTTCAGATCTACGATCCTGTGATTGTGGATCTCTCTCGTTGATTAGTTTTCATAGCTTTCTAATCTCTCTCATAACTTTCATTCTCTCAAACTCAAAACACTCGAAAGATCTTACACTAGCTTTTAGGCGAGTAGTGCATTTGTTAACAATCACATACTTCAGCTACCCCCAACCTATTCCTCACCATGAAGATTGCCAAAGACGCGTACACCAGCTCGAGTCTAAGCTGCGCGAACAACCAATCCTTCCTCTAATCGACCTCAACGATGAATGCGAAATCAAAGATTCTCGCTCTAACCAACTACAAACTTCGCACTTTTCCAGCATATGCTAACAGCGCCAAGTCAACCTTCAAGGTCCAAATCATCATGGA